AGCTAATATTAGCTACAGTGCTTGGTGTAATACCCAGCCAGCATGCATAGGTGGGCCCCACTTGGGTTTGATGTGGGCTACATGGGTTATGAGTGGGCATGGGTTTTATCTGGGCTAACTTTATGGGACCGATATGGTAACCTAAAATGGGGCCCACTTGGGCTGGCCCATTAGGGCTAAACATATGGGCCCCATTCAGCATTAATGCGGGCTAACTGTGAATGGGGCAGAAGTGGGCAACACTATGTGGGGCCCATGTAGTTTCACTATCACGGGCCCAACATGGGAAGCCCATGTGGGCTGACCACATTGAACCCACATGAGATAAGAATGGGCTGACCGTACATGGGTTGAACCTGGGCATGCGTATGTAGGCCCCATTCCTTTTTTATGTGGGCTAACTGGGGATGGGACAGAAATGGGCAACACTAAGTGGGGCCCATGCAGTTTCATTATCAAGGGCCCAACATGGGAAGCCCATGTGGGCTGACCACATTGAACCCACATGACATAAGCATGGGCTGACCATACATGGGTTAGACCTGGGCAGGAAAATGTAGACCTTAATCCTTTTTCATGTGGGGTAATGGGAAAAAATTTTTTAAATCTGATTAGACAATGTGGTTACCCTGTCACTTTTAAACTTTTCACTATATGTCAAAAGCAAAAGCTGCAAGAGCAAGATTATAAAAACTTTGAAAAAAATTACCAGAGATGTCAGATTGATGGCCTTTAGCTAAGGAAACTGTTACTCAGCTGGCCTGTATTGGAGTTGATAAAAGGTACATTGTTGAAGCAATTGTATAAGCTTTTCTTTCTACAAATTGAAAAGCTCTCCTTGGATGGTGACCTTGTCTTGGAGGTCATAAAGACGTATTGTATTTGAACCCAACATGCTCACTACATGATTTCTGTGTCTGGCTCATTTACTAACACCGACATTACACTAGGGTTCCAGAAGACCAAAATATGCTTCAATGCTTTATTTTTTAAACCAGTTCAGTATTGTTCAAGCTACACTTTGAACTCCTAACATTTTTCCTTTTTATTATTTTACACCAGAACAGTCCAGACGTGTTCTAACATTTTTGTGACATATCTGTTTTAATATGCATAATCTTCTGCTGCTCACTCAAAATAGGTAATGGTTCAGACTGGACTTTTGTCCTTGCTTCTTTTTTTAAATGTAATTTAATTTAATTTTATTATCCATTGGATGTTCAGACATCCAAAGTGTTCATTGCAGCTTTTTCACAGAGGGACTTAATTCTTATTTGGAGAAATAGTTCAGATCAGATCGTGAAAAATATTACAAAATGTTTAGAAAATGAATTCAAACAAAACTCAAGTGAGAAAGACAAGAGTAAAATTTTTAGCATGTTTGTTCATCTGTAAACATTTTCCAAGTTGTCAGCATACATAAAATAAAAAAACTTAACATTTCTATCTATTAATGATTATTTTTATATCTGAATCTTTTTTCAATAACCTTTTTGTTCATTTTTTCTCTGGCACCGTTGCCAATAAAGGTTGGTGAATTGAAGTAGACACTTTACACATCCACTAAAGAAAGAAGTTCCAAAACACATTTGAATAAGGACGACTATATTTATTTATTTTTATTGAGAAAATTTATGAGTGCTAGATCGGTTTTACATTTGTTAAACCGATGTATTACTCTCAAAATTAATCTCGTGTTTCTTGGAGAACGAACAATTGTTAACTGCGGATGGTTATGCAGTTTCAAAATCAAACGTAGTCCCATCAGTCCGTTGGCGCGGAGTCTGCAGGTTCGCTGGCCTTCTACTAAAGAATCCGTAAGTACACTTCTGTCTGTTTTGTCTGTATTGTATCAAATTTTAGGAAGAGATTTTAAATCGCTAGTTAAAACATTTGTTGCTCGTAATGGTTCGGATGACCGGAGTACCCCGAAAGACCTAATTAGTTGTTTGTTCTTTTTTTTTTTTTTTTTTTTCTTTTAGGTGATTTTTTTTATATTGTTAAAACACCCACAATAAGTCATTTGCCATTATTGAGGTAAGAATATTTGGATGCAGAGCGATTTCAAACTTCTGGGCCAGATCATTTTCAAATACGCTGCGGCGCCATTCACCGGTAAATTTGAGCGCCAACGCGGCAGAATAAAATCGGTTCACTAATGACGTTGCTAGCGGAGGTTGCTTTTAAAGTACCTTGACACGATAAAACCACTTACATTATTTATAAAGAGTAACTACTTCGCTTTCATTCTGTGTACATGGGTTTTTATCAATCTTTCTCGCAGCCAATTAAGCCAGCATGCATAGCTGGGATCCATTAATTGTGCATTTTTAATTATTATTATTATTTTTTTTTCATGAAACTGCATTGAATCGTGTAGTTGTGGGCTAGATATGTAATGATGAATGGGCATGGGTTTTGTCTGGGCTAACTACATGAGGCCCATATGTTTAACCTAAAATGGGACCCATATTGTCAGCCCATTT